AAGGTCAAGCGTCTCCGGCAGAGGCGCCATGTCGTCGCCAAAGCCGTACATCATGACAGCCACTGCGGGGTGGGGGCGGGTGGGACCACGGAGGGTGGGCCAGACAGGGGCAGCCAAGAGCGAGGTGCGTGGAGGAAAGCCCTGGGTGGGCTGCTCCGGCAGGCAAAGGGCTTCGGCTGCGTGCTGGCACGCTGCCACCAGCCCGAAGGCAGCACCGAGGCTCACAGTCGCGGGTGAGCTGGCCCTCCATGCTGAATGCCTCCTGCGGTGGCGGCGCCTCCTCTGCAACAAAGGCGGCAGCACGCGGCATAGGGGAATGACGCAGGGCGGCATGGTGCGAGGAACCCAGCGCCTCGCCCAAGGTTAACAGGCCCAGGACCCTGGTCAGCGGATACTACAGGCTGCCCGTGCCCACCTTGCTTGGCCGGCTTGGCCTCTGCCGCCTTCTGCCGCTTGGCGGCGGGCGCCGCGTCGCCGCCCTTCTTGGCCTTCTCCCCCGCCGCCTTCTTCGCCTTCTTGGCCGCCGGCTTCCCGCCCTCCTCCGTCATTCCCGGCCCGGCTGTCCTCTGTCTAGCACCAAGCAGCAGTAAAGCGCTCCATCATCGCGCGGCGGGCGCCATGCAGTCACTCCAGCTGCAATCCACCCACACGGAAGATCAACATCCATGACGAGCGCCGTTTTCGTTCATTTCTGTGGCCCAAGCGCCAGCTCAGCAAATTTTCAGGCGCCAGTCTGCTGCGGCCCAATTGACCATCAGAAAGGCAATGCACGTCACACGCGCACCTCCAGTCTCGCCACCAGCCTGTATAGTGAGCCGACCAGCTCACCTCAGCCTCTCCCGCTTTGCACCACGCCGCATTCCGCCAACGGCCGCCGGGACAATGGTGGGGGAAGCAGGCCATGAGCGATCTGATGGCGAGACAGGGGTGGTGCAGGCCGCCCCTGCCGCTGGCGGCGGTCACTACACAGACGTGGCCGCCAGCTACGAGGCGGCGTTCTTCTATAGCTCTCCTGAGTATCGTGACTGGATCCTGGAGCGGCTGCTGCGACACTTTGGCCTGCCGGATGAGGAGGCACAGATAGTGGACCTGGGCGGCGGCACCGGCAACTTCACCCAGGCGCTGGCGTTGGCGGCTCGGGTGCGGCGCCGAGTGCTGTGCGTCGATGCGTTTGCTGAGATGCTGCAAAAGGTGAGCGATTCGAGGAGGTGGGCGGGGTGTGGAGGCTGGTGGGGATGGTCGTGGCGGAGAATGCCGCCCCCTGGCGCCCGGCACGGGCAGGTGCTGGTCGGCACGTGCGTCTGTGGCAACCACTGCACCCCCCCCCGCTCGCTAATGCCGCCTGCCCCTCTCGCCGCCGCCGCCGCAGGCGCTGGCGCACGACCGCGTGGAGCCGCTGCTGCTGGACGCGGTGCAGTTTGCTGCGCTGCCGGCGGAGTCCATGCGGTACAGCCATGTACTGCTCAAGGAGCTGGTGCACCACATCCCCGCCGCCGACGTTCCGGCCATGTACGCCGGGCTGCACCGCCAGCTGGCGCCAGGCGGCGTCGCCGTCACCATCACCCGCCCGCAGCAAGTCGACTACCCGCTGTTCCGGCGGGCCAGGGAGGTGGGTGGGCCTGGGCAGGGGCGGCGCCAGCTGGCATGCGGTTGACCACCTCGGCGACATGCGGCGTTGGAGCCCTGCCATCACCCTCCCTCCCACACCTGTGCTGCGCCTGCTCCATGATGTGCTGCAGATCTGGAGGGAGCACCAGCCGCACCAGTCTGTGTTCACAGCGGCCATGCAGGCAGCCGGCTTCTCAGTGGAGGTGCGGCGCGGGGGTGGCTGGCTGGGCCCCGCTGTGCAGGGCGATGCAGCGGCCTGCTGCTGGGCTGTGCCGCGTGCGGAGCCGAGGTGCAGCCCTCGGCTGGGCCTCCTTGTGACCACCCCTCGGCTCCTCTTCTCTCCCCGCCCCCGCCCGCCTGCGCCCGCCCGTCAGGTGCACGCCCACGACTATGCCGCCCAGCTGCCCAAGGCCACGTGGCTGGGCATGATGCGATCCCGCTTCTGGTCCACATTCAGCCACTGCAGCCAGCAAGAGCTGGAGCAGGCAAGGCGTTCACCAGGGCCTGCCGCTGGGGCCATCACCGCAGCTGCGCATCTCGTGAAGCAGCTGGCGGCGCATGCAGCTGGCACACGTCGAGCGTTTGTCGCCGGCCCGTGTGATGCCACCGCCTTGGCCTGCCCTCCTCGTGACCTGCAGGGCATAGCGGAGGTGGAGCAGCAGTTTGAGGGCCAGGACACGCTGCACTTCACAGACAGGCTGCTCTTCCTTGTGGCGCACAAACCGCGCGACGCTGATGTGGCGGCGCCTGCGGCAGCTGCCAGCAGCCAGGCGACCGCCGAGAGCGCCATGGCGGCAGCCCAGCTGCGCGCAGCAGCAGCGCCGGCAGAAGTGCAGCCGCCTGTGCTCGCTCCAGAGCAGCGGCAGCAGTATGCGGAGCAGGGGTTCACGGGGCCGGTGCAGATAGTGAGCAGCGAAGAGGCGGCACAGCTGCATCAGCAGTACCTGCGGTACCAGCAGCGCCTTGGCAGCGCCGTGCAAGGCGACTGGCGCTTTAAGTCGCACCTGCTGCTGCCCTGGGTGTGGCAGCTGGCGCACCACCCGCGCATCCTGGGTGCTGTTTCAGAGGCGCTCGGGGGGTGCGCCAACCTGCTGTGCTGGAGCAGCGACTGGTTCTGCAAGCAGCCGGGCGACGGCGCCTTCACATCCTGGCACCAGGCGAGGCAGGGGGCCGCACCAGCTTGCTTGCGCTCCAGCAGGGGTTCCCAGGCGGGCCACCTCTTGCTGCTGGCACTCCAATGTGCTGCACACAACTGAGTGCTAGCTGCCGCCTGAATCCCCTTCTCCGCCGGCCTGCAGGACAGCACCTACGTCGCCCTGAGCCCGCCGGATGTGGTGACCGTGTGGCTGGCGCTCACGCCCAGCAGCGCCGCCAACGGCTGCCTGCGCTTCCAGCCTGGGTCGCACGTGGCGCAGCTGCCGCATGTCGACACGTTTGGGGAGGGCAACCTGCTGCTCAAGGGGCAGGCTATCCAGGCAAGGCGGCCAGCCTGCGAGCAACCCTGCTTGGATGCAGGCACCTGAGTTGCCCACCACCTGTCATCAAAAGTAGAGAGGGAGTGGGAGTAGTGCCTTGTGCTGACTGCCTGTGCTTCTTGCTGCCGCTGCCCTGCCCTGCAGGAGCTAGAGGGGGTGGAGGGGGAGTGCATCCCGCTGTCTCCGGGCCAGGCCACGCTGCACCACATCCGCACGGCGCACCGCTCGGGGCCTGCCGCCCCGGGGTCCCAGGCGCGGCTGGGACTGGCGCTGCGCTACATGGCGGCGCACGTGCAGCAGGGCCTCGACCCACGTGACTCGGGTGAGGGCTGGGGCTGCCGCTGGGCGTCGCTGCCGGGAACCGCTGGGCGCCCTTGTGGGACTGAAAGGACTGAAGTCGTGCTGCAGCGCAAAGACGCAGTGTGTTCAATTCTGCTGTGCTGCTCTGGACCCCTTGGGTGTCTGCAGTGACGGTGGTGGCTGGCATGGACACCTTTGGCCACTACCGCCACGAGCGGGGCCCAGCTGCGGAGATGGATGCCGAGGCGGTGGAGCAGCACCGGCAGGCGGTGGCGGCAGTCTACCCTGAAGGCTTTGAGCGGGGCCAGTGAGGGGGGAACAAGCTGCACGAGTTGTATGTACCGCTGTTGTGTCCTCCCAGTAATCAAAGGCTTCTGCAGCAAGGTCAATGTGCTGGAGAGCTTCTTCTCTTGAGCTTCGCCCATGCGCCCCTTCCCGCCTCCAGCTCAGCCGCCCATCTGGCGGCGCACTTCATGGAGCCCCAGCCTGCTCCAGCGCTTCGTGTCACCTAGATCCTGCAAAATGGCTTCGGGTGACGGCGCTGGGGCCACGATGGTGGACAGTGAATCCCTGGCTGTGCTCCATGCGCTTCGAGACGCGGCCCCCTCGCTGGCAGAGGAGTGGCGGGAGGGCTCGGATGTTATGAGCTGGAAAAGGATCAAGTGGGACGACGCCAGCGGCGAGATGTCGGAGCTGTGAGTGTGAGAGCTGGGGGCCTCCCAGCCTGGTTTGTGGGAGGGTAAAGGGCGTGGATGATGCGATGCGTGCGGCGGCGACACCAGCTAGTTAGTGCAAGACGTGATGGCCTGCTGCCGCCGCCGGCGGCGGGTGCCGGTCACACACCCCTCCTGGTCATGCAGCCTCCCTCGCCTCGCCCTTCCCTGCCACCCTTCCTGCAGCAACCTGGGCGAGGCCGGCATGCTGGAACTGCCCGAGGCTGTGGCCCAGCTGCCCTCGCTGCGCAAGCTGTGGCTCACGCACAACGCGCTGCGCGCGCTGCCCGACGGCCTCGCGCGGCTGGGCCGCCTGCAGGCGCTGCTGGCGCCCGACAACGTGTTCAAGGAGCTGCCGCCGGTGCGCTGGGGGCGGCGCGTGGCTACAGCGGCTTGTCGCTGGCAAGTCGAGGCTGCCAGGCTGTGAGTGCTCCACACAGGCCAGCCTTGGTCGCACCTCGCCTGCAGGTGGTGACCCGCCTGGAGTCGCTGGAGCAGCTGTTCTTCAACCTGAACCCCATCCGCGAGCTGCCGCCAGGCATCGGCGCCCTCACCAACCTGGAATGGCTGTGAGCGCTCCGCCGCACGCTGCGCCGCGCCTGGCCGTCCTTGCCTGCTCCTGCCGCGCCCTGGGTGTTTCTGGGGCCCGGTGGGGCACATGCGACTGCTGCGCGTTGCTCCTGAGTGTGGGGCTGCCCCCCCAGCCGCCCGGCAGGGACTTGAGTGAGTGCCAGCTGGCGTCCCTGCCCCCCGAGATCGGCGCCCTGACCCGCCTGCAGCGCCTGGACCTGCACAGCAACAAGATCCCCACCCTGCCCCCCACCATCTCAGCCCTGGCCAGGCTGGACCGCCTCTCGCTGCACAGGTGCGTGTGAGCGCGCGGGGGTGGGTGCATGGGGGAGGCTGGCTGCGCGCCTTCAGGCGCATGGGTGTGTGTGAACGCGGGACGCGGTGCTGGGATGCATGAAGGTTGTGCTCTCCTCCCGTTGTAGCCGCGCCTCGGCTTGATCTGCCCCTCCCCGCCTGCCCCGCAGCAACGACATGACGCTGGTGCCTCCAGAGATTGGGGCCTGCACCGCCCTCACCTGGCTGTCCCTGGTGGGCTAGGCAGGGATCCGGGCCTCGCTGGAGGCTTGCCGCCCTTGCCTCTCCCGCCACCACCACCACACACACACACACACACACACACACACACACACACGCCGCCGCCCGCCGCCGCCCCGCAGAACGCCAACAAGCTGCGCGTGCTGCCGCCCAGCATCGGCGCGCTGACCCGCATGATCCGCCTGTCGCTGCACATCAACCACCTGGAGCACCTGCCGCCCGAGATTGGCAACCTGGTGCACCTGGAGGCGCTGAGGTGTGTGCGGGGGGGGGGGGGGGGGGGGGGGGGGGGGGGTTCATTTTTTCAAAAAAGTTTTTCCCCTT